TTATGGGAACTAATGAAGAACTTTTCTTTATGCACTCTCTCCACACCACTCATGCTTTTATAGACCTCTATCCTATCCCCCCTCAGTCTCCTCTTTTCTAAACTGAGAAGTCCCAGTCTCTTTAGCCTCTCTTCATATGGGACCTGTTCCAAACCCCTCATCATTGTAGTTGCCCTCCCCTCTCCCACCCTCTCTCTTGCCCTCTCCCACCTCCTTTTCCCAGTCTCCCTGAGTTTTGTTCAATAAAGAGAGATTCTATTTTTGACCACACGTTTTCTTTATTTTGTACATCAGGAAGGGGGGCTAGAGAAGGGTAAGTGGAAGGAGGTGAGGGAGGAATGGGGTACGAGCCCCCGATGGGGAGGACTGGGCTGGCTCTGAGGGCTTCTGGGGATGGAAGCTCTCCTGCAGCCCCCCAATTGCCCCCTCTCCTCAGATGGCAGCCTGCGGCAAATGCAGCCGGGCTGATGGCCGAGTGCTGTGATGTGCCCAGTGTGGGCACTCAGGGCACTCCAAACCAGGACTGCTTTGCAAGCGGGGAACCCCTGAGAACTGTCTGTCCGGGGTGAGGGTCGGGTCCCTTTAAGCACAGCCCTCGGCTAGCCTGAGGCAGCAGCTCCACGCTCTAAGTCCTCCTCTGATGCCCTGCCGGCACTGCTTCCGGCCATCCTTAACCCCGGTTCAGGGTCCACTTAATGTGGACATGCTAGTTCGAATTAGCAAAACGCTAATTCGAAGTAGTTTTTTAGTCTGGATCCGTTAGTTCGAATTAGCTTAGTTCGAATTAACTAATTCGAACTAATTTAGTTCAAATTAGCGCTGTAGTGTAGACATACCCTAAGTGCTTCCAGGTCCCTTGCCTTTCTACTTGAGACAGACATAGCAATATGGCACAAAACTACCCACATGTCCAGTGCGAGCAACTCTAGAAGAGGTCCAGTCTTCAGTTATGTACCTTCCCAGTGATCATCTCCCCTGACGATAGTCACTCTTGAATCTCCTTTGCTGAACAAAGACAGGTCGATTTTTTTCGGGCAATATTGTTGGCTCATTTCGTTTAGGGATAAGGAAATCCAGGTGTCTTGGCATTTCTACAGTGCATGGGCCAGCGCAGGAACTCACTTGGGGTTCTCTACTGTCAAATAGGCATCTCTCACCAATTGTTTAAAAAAGACAATGTCAATGACCGTGTCTAAGCAACAAAAGTTCGGTGATTTCACTGATGAGTTTGTGTGGGTAACATAATGAGAGATGATCATGAATCACATGGGTGTTAACGAGGAGTGTGTGGCACTGGCATCCCAAGAGACAGGCCATCACGGGCCCATTACGGACTCATGATTTTCACCAGTGGAAGAGAGAGAGAACTTTGGGGCAGGCCCATTGAGCGTGGGCAGAGATAAAGAGAAAGTTCTTAGTCTCTCCATGAACTTTGCCTCTGAGACAGTCTCTGTGCCATGGCTTTCCTGAAAAGGGGCAACAGGTGTCTGCTGCCGATAGCATTATCAGGCAAGAGAGAAAATCAATGTCTCAGGGCTACGTGTCTCAGGAACAGCCTCCGGTCTCACCACACTCCATTAACCCAATGGACCAGTACGAAAGTCGCTTCACTGGTGGAAACTTTCAGTGGTGTTATGCTGTCTTTCCAGCGCCATACAGAGGCTACTGCCAGAAATGCCCATAGAATTTAATGCATAAAATGCCAACCCAGTGCACCCCCTCTGAAGAGTGTGATTCTATCTGGTCTGCTGTATCTCTTTGGTATGATCTGTTTGTCTCCTTTTAATTTTATAGTGCTTCATTTCAATATGCCATTAACGTTGTGGCGCCAGTTTCCCACCATGGATGTGTTAGTTCAAATCCCACCTTTTGATTCTCAGTTTGGGATTTCAGCACAGAAAAGAGGAATTCATGATCCTTTGAGTAGATCCGAGCACTCAGTGCGGAGAGTGGGAATCTCACCGAGACACGTGGTTTGTCTGAATGAAAAAAATGTCTTAATAGAGTCCACGATGTGTCTGAAACATCCTTGCCATAGGCCTTTCACATTCTTTCAGTGTTTACTTCCAAAGCCCTAGTCACATCCTGAGCTCTGGAAGAGGAATCTGCCTTAGAAGAGCAACAGGGCAGCCCCTGTGAAGAGCACTTCAGACTCAGCCTGGCTCCATGTTCTCATCTTACATAGGATGATGGGATCTTCTATTCTATAGGACTGAACTTCTGATACTGCACATATTAATTGTAGCACCTTCCAGTAGAGCATGAAGAATATCACTGCACATCTTACATACTGTTTGTTCTCCCATGCTCTCTCCAGTGGGAGAAATGTACAGAGTAGTGTGTCTTGTTTTTGTGGGGAATCAGGGATTTTGTTTTTAAAATGCCAGTTGTTGTGTGTTTTATATTAGAGAAGACATGGTCAAAGCAATGTGCCTTGTACTTGGAGCAGAAGGTAGAAAGGTGTGTAACAGTTCTTAGCAATGTTCCCTCTAAACTTTCCCATCCATGTGCAGATTTGTTTAATTCATGTGTGGAATAATTTGTATGGGCACTGAGGCATGCGCGAATGTGCACCACCAATAGAAACTAAAAATCTAGCTGTGCAGGCTCTGCTAATCAACTAGGCAGCATTGAAATTTCTCCTGGGCGGCTTCACAAGTGCACAGCTCATAGGGAATGCTGGTCCTTAGCTCTTGGAGTTCATTCCGTAGTCTTTGGCCATCCTTGAGAAAGTTCCCTCTCCTTCACACATGACCTTGAGTTCCCAAATACTAGAGAAGCAGATTAGTTGGTTAGCTGGCTCGACAGGTTGGCTGTGTCCCAGTCACTGTACCACCTATCTGACGTATAACACTTTAGAAGAGATAATGTAAGTAACCATTTTAACAATCAGTCAATGTCAGAGATATATTATTTGTAATAATTTCAAATATAATCTATCTCTGACATTGACTGATTGTTAAAATGGTTACTTACATTATCTCTTCTAAAGTGTTATACACACAGTCTAAATATAATCAAATCTAACACTTTAATGAGATTATCGTAGATCTGGGGGAAGATGCATAAACATCAGGAATGGGTTGCAAAAAAAATAAAAGGATGAGAGAAGTTATTTTGCTCCCTGCATACCCATATCTGAACTTGAAGAGTTAGTTATGCCTTCCACACAGGCATTGTGGAACAAGTGATCAGCCCAAAGCACCCTGCACATCACAGGGAGGTTTTTGTATTAGTCTGTATCACTGTGAGAGGCCAGTTGTTATACTGCTGACAGTAATAATCTCCAGCATCATCAGCTTCAACTCTGCTGATAGTGAATGTGAAATCAGTGCCAGACCCACTGCCGCTGAACCGATCTGGGACCCCCGTATCACGGGTAGAGGCTTCATAGATAAGGAGTTTAGGAGCTTTTCCAGATTTCTGTTGGTACCAGGCTATGTGGTTACTAATACCCGAACTGGCTTTGCACCTGATAGTAACACTTTCTCCTGCACTGACTGACAGGGATTCTGGTGACTGAGTCATCACTGTATCTCCACTGGAGTCTAAAAACAAAAAGAAAATCTGTGTCTGTCACAATATTCTGAACAATAAATTTTACTCATTACATTTACTAGGTTTTAAACATACCAGGAATTCTGTGTCACTCCAGATAAGCCCCCAGACCATGTTTACATGTCAGATTTTTGCTCTTTCTTACCCTGGACCCATACAAACATCATCAGTAAGGAAAGCAGATTGTGGGACATCATCTTGACTCTTCTGAGAGACAAGGAGCTGAGAGCCCTGCAGTGAAGTGTAAAATGCAACCTGGTTAATTTATAATCCCTGTTCTGTGCAGTGAGGAAATGGCACTTGGGTGTGAAAACGCAAAGAGGGTGATCTATGTAAATTCTCTCTGGACATGTTAATATTCATAGTTCATCCCCTTCTCAGGGGCCGTTATTAGATAAATAGTAGGAAGTGAAATGAAGAAGTCCAGTCAAAATCTTTTCTTTTGAGAGTCCAGTTTGAAATGATTAGGTTGGGTTAGATTTAGGACAAATGCTAGAAAGTCTTTAGTATATGAGCAATAGTGTAATCTGGCTAGGGAATTGTTTGTCCATTTCATGAGGGTGGGTGAGGATGTCTGCAACTGTGTTGTGTGGTTTCAAGTATCATAACAACATGCACTGATGCAAGTGCTAGAATCTAGTTCTCTATCTTGAACTAGGCAACACTTGTTTCAACTGAAAGATACACACGTAACACGAGAAAAAATCCAGTCAACAAGTAATCAAGGATTTCACTGATAATTGTGAGCATTATTTTTTGTCAATTACACAGTTAAAAATAAATCACATTATGGATGTAATTGACTTGGGGAACAAGAACCCCTAATGACTGATCATCATTAGGCCTATTATTGATCCACAACTTTCACCAAAGAGACGAGGGAAAACTTCAGGGGCAGGCCCACTCAGCCTGGGCAGACCCATGAAGGATTTGCTTTTGTCTCTCTAAATTTTGAGTCCCTCACAATATCAGTACCATGGGCATTGCTGAGTAAGGGGAATGACTTGGGGAACAAGAACCCCTAATGACTGATCATCATTAGGCCTATTATTGATCCACAACTTTCACCAAAGAGACGAGGGAAAACTTCAGGGGCAGGCCCACTCAGCCTGGGCAGACCCATGAAGGATTTGCTTTTGTCTCTCTAAATTTTGAGTCCCTCACAATATCAGTACCATGGGCATTGCTGAGTAAGGGGAAT